ACCACCATTAGATGCGTCTTGACAAGCTTTACAAAAGTCTCTTAAGTTAGAAAAGTGATTAACTTAGTATTAAAAAAAGTTTTAGATGTGCGCACGCCACATTTGGAGACCCTTAATTTTTATAAGTAATTTGAGTCACATTTTACTATGACCATTCTCTGGTTGACTGGTGGATCACCAATTAATAAATATTTATTAAATCCCATTATTTAGATTCATTGATTTACAGCATATTGAGTATACATATTTCATTACTTTAAATAAATAAATCGTTTGATTTAACACTAATTTCAAAAAAAAAAGATTTAAGTGTTTGAGAGCAACTGTTAATTTATATGCTACCTATTCATATTTACTTACTCATATAATTTTTATTTTTTTTTAATTCAGAATTAACCAACCAACTCAAAAAATGTCTTAAGATTTATTTGTTTGAAGGATGAACTTCATAATTTTCTAATTGCTTTTTGCAAATTTGATAAGACTTCATTATGTTTTAACCGGGCTATATCACAAAATTCCTGTTGCAGAAGATATTGTTCTAGCAAATCTATAGCGTTTAGTGCTTCATTATGGGTAATTTGATGCATTTCTGTGCTGTCATCATCCCATTGCTTTTATCCTCCTCAAGTTCTGAGTTAGCGGCTAGATCTACTATTTCTTGGTTGCTTAATGCTTCATGTATTTTTAATTCTTCTGGATAGTCGATATATTTTTCAAGATCCATCACATTTCGAAAATGGAGCGCTTCGATATCTTCATGCAATTCTTTGATCAATTCAACATCATCAATATTAAGCACTTCATCATTGTCTTCATCTTCACTATCATTATCCGGATTAATTAGAAGGATTCCTGTATATAGGGTTGTAAAATTTTGTATAATTAATAATTTTGAATACATAATATACATAAAATCTAATTTACTAAAACTTATATAAGGCCATACAAAGGTAGTTTTTTAGTTCTCAACATAAAATTTTAAAAATAACCTGGCAACCCGGCTTTTAATTTTATTTTCAAAAAATTTTATATATAAACATATCCCTTAAATTGTAACACAGGCAAATTTGCCTGCGAAGATTTTTACTAATTTTTTTAATATTTAAATTTT